ATGTCCTTAATTGTATTGATTCCTACATTTTCTCTTTCAATAACCATAACTCTCCTTTAAATAAAATCACTATTAATGTGTAAACTCAAAAATTTAAATCAAGTCAACTCTCTTTATATTATTCTCGTAAGTGTTGCAATGTATGTATTAAACTAAGCCCATTCTCCTTTTTTATTTAGATTTTATTTTTTATTTAAATAAAATATACATAGAAACAAACATCTATCCCCACTAGTAGTTATATAAAATAAACATCTATTAGGTTAAATGCTTAAAAAAATGTAGAGGATCAAAATTCTTTAAAAAGTATTTTTTTACATATTATTGACTTTGAAGCATAAATATTCTGTGAATATTCTTTTTGAAAAAAAATTGAATATAAATTAATCTGAACTGATTAAGTAATTAAATTAAATGATGGGTATAAACTCATTTTATTCTCCGATAAATTCACTTTAAAGATCCTAATAGGTTATTTCTAACCTAAATCTCCAAAATATTGATTTTTTAATAATAAATAACGATTAACTTTATTTTTGTAGAAAAAACAACTACATTTTCTATATAAAAAAAAAGTTATATGTTCATAACAAACTAACTTGAACTAAACTAAGTCTCTTGGTCCAAAGATTGTTAGGTCTGCCTTGGAATAGAGGGTCGACCAGGTGCTCCCAAGGTTGATTCTCGTCTTCGTCAAAATAATGTTTCGCCAGCAGAAGTCACACTCCACGAGTACAAATTAGTCATTATTTATCAATCTTAAGACACTAGGTGTGCCATGTAAAAAAGAAATTTGAACTGAATTTTGTTTTTTATAATTAATCATCCCATGTGTAGAACGGTTACAAAATTATAGCATGACTAGTTTAATATAAGTAAAACATTATGAATCAAATATAAAACACACACACACACATATATATATATATATATTGACAACTAAATACATATATTTCCAACTTAATTATATAGACCTATAATTTTGAGAAATTGTGATAAAAATGATATGCCCTATTGCTAAATAAAAATATAGATTGTATCAATATTTGAAGGGAAAAAATACTCTTAATGAGACGTTAAAAATCACCATAACAAGGATAAAAGTTTACTTTAAGACGAGTAAGAGTACTATAATACTCGGGACAAAACTTAGGTATAGCTTTTTAGGTACGATTGGTGTTGTTTTCCAATAAAAGTTGAAGTTCAATCTTGATAGTATGCATAAATATATATTAATAAGACTTGCATCAAATGCACTTGCATAATACTCACTTGAAACACAATAGTAATTTCACCGGCAATTTCAAATAGATTTCTGTGACCAAATCATCAGGGAGGTATAGAATATGAGGGAGAGTGACCATCGTCTTTGTCTTCTTTACACCACAATAGAACAAGTATATACATAATAGTGCAAATAAAAATATAAATAAGAAAAGTCCTTTTCTTTTACATAAATTAAATCTTAGGATTAGGATAATCCCTCATCGGTTTGGATTGACTTTGTGTCATTTTTATTTTGATTGAAATTCTCTAAAAAAAAATTACAACATGAATAAGATCAATATTGGTTTGAACCAGATTATAAGATTTATCGTTTAAAAACAAAAATTAAACACAATTAAAAGTTGGAAAATTAAAATTAAAACCATATCACATAATTAAAAATAACTTCCAACGAATCAGGTTCGGGCTGATATGAAACTCCAAGGTTTGTAAAGCCTGAAGAGGCTAGTAAAAGAATACTTGGAAAACCAGAAGTGGTTTAAGAATACTAGCGTCAGCAAGTGAAGTTGACGAATCAGAAGTGGATGAGAATATTCGGGCAACCAGAAGTGGTTTAAGAATACTAGCGTCAGCAAGTGAAGTTGACGAACTAGAATTGGTTAAGAATACTTGTAAACGTTGTTATTAGTGGAACCCTTCAGTTAAAGGAGACTGGACGTAGCTCAGGACGAGAGAAGCATTATAAAACTCTAGGCATTGTTATTTGATTTACAAACGTAGTTTTACTTATATTGATGTATTACACTGAAAAACTTCGTCTACTACTACTTATTTTCTAAACAATATTTAGACAAAACTATATTTGTTTGACTTAAGAAACCATTTTCGAATAGATGATAGATCTTTAGACACAAATTTTCTTTTAACCAATCTTGCACATTCTCCAAGTGCTTAAAATATTATTTTCATACTGAAAGAAGCCCCTTTGCAAAAACATTTTTAAAATCCTTCGTTCACACACATCCAACCCCCCTTTTGTGTGTTTTCCACTAAACTTCATAGTCATCATTAGGGAAAGGATTGAGAATGACATGAGGAGTGGGATGATTGTTGTTGACCCTGTTGGAATGACTGGTTCAAGAAAACTTTCAAGTGGTATAGGAAAAAAAAAAGGAAGAAGACACCAATGCAATGACATTCAACTCTCTTGGGATACCTAACAACAAACCCCCTTATTTCTATACCCCTCACATGACCGACCCAAACATTATCACCATCTCACCATATCCTCACCAACCTATCCATCAAGCCCCGCAAGCTTGACCCATAACACCTACCACACAACCACCTCAATCTACCTAACCATGGAACCAAAATCATAGCCATACGAGGTCACAAAATACCCAAGGGATACGATGCTAATTCCAAATGTGACTATCATGCGGGAGCTATTGGTCACTCCCTTGAGAATTGTATAGCACTTAAATTTAAGGTACAAAGTTTGATTAAGGCTAGGTGGTTAAACTTCAAAGAGAATAATCTTAATATTGGGAATAATCCTCTAGTAGGCATGGAGGGATGATAGTTAATTCTATTGAGGAGAGTAAAGAACAACTCATGATAAAGAGGGTGAAGGATGTAAAAATTACACTAAATGTCATTTTTAAGGTAATATGTAAGTTTGGGATGTGGAAGGAAGTCTTGATAGGAGTAAGGGGTGTGGATTAAATCCTAATGAAGGTCATGAAATTGAAGAGTGTGATGATTTTAGGAAGATACTACAAGACATAATGGATAAACAACTTGTACCAGTTGGCTACTTAAGAAGTCTTGTATTGGCTATTGAATTAGTTTCAGGCTACCCAAAGCCCTTGGTTATTCATTATACTAAGGATAAAACCATCTTGAATACTAGTGGACCAAAGCCTATAACAATACAAGTGCTAAAGGCTTTTCCATATAAAGATAACAAAGCAGTACCATGGAGATATGGTATAGAACTTTGTGTCGAAGACCCTAAGTAAGAACCAATAGAAACTTGTTCAGAAGCCACCGAAGTCACAAATTTTGTTGGGATTGGTGGTATGACTCAAAGTGGTCGAATTTATACTCCAAGCGAGTTAAGGGTCGAGAAATCTAGAGAGGTTGGTCGAGATAAGGAGAAGCATAAAGAAATGGTTGAACAGAAAGTTATTGATGAGGAAATAGCAAAAGAGAAGGAAGTCTCTGATGAAGAGGCATGTGAGTTCCTAAAACTTATACGACAAAGTGAGTACATGGTGATCAATCAGTTGAATCGGATCCCCCCTAGAATATCACTTTTGTCACTTATGATGAATTCAAAACCTCATAGACGAATACTATTGAAGATACTAAATGAAGCGCATGTCGTTCATGATATTTTTGAGGAGAAATTTAAGGATATTATTGGAAATATCACTGCCAATAATTACCTTACATTTACAAATGATGAGATACTAGAGGAAAGAGTAGGGCACAATAAAGCTTTGCAGATATCAGTGAAATGCATGGACCATATTTTGGCGAGAGTTTTGGGTGACAATGGTTCTTCATTGAATGTGATGCCAAAGATAACATTGGAAAAACTTCTCTATGATAGATCATACATTAAGCCAAGCACTATGATAGTGACAGCTTTTGATGAGTTCGTAGAGAAGTGATCATCGAAATATGCTTACCTATCCAAATTGGCCTTGTTACCTTTGAGGTAGTATTTCATGTGATGGACATTATGGCTGTAGACACCCAATTTCGTCTGGACCCACAAAAACAATGAAATGGACATCTATTATCAAGGAAAGGAGTTCCCGAAGCATGGAAACAACAGGATATGACTTTAGAAGGCCTAAAGCCCAAATAAGCTAGTTTTAGTAGCCTAGAATGGGTTGTTCCAAAACTAGAACGGGCTATTCCAAGTTACAAAAAGGGCCTAAAACCATAGTTTTGAACGGGCCATTCCAGCATGGGCAGTTATGTGTTAAACCCAACTCTGGAACGGGCCGTTCTGGTTTCAGAACGGGTCGTTCCAAGATACAAAATTAACACATAACGTACAAATCCAGAACGGGCCTTTCTGAATCTGGAACAGGCAGTTCTGGCAACTTTTTGATGTCTATAAATAGCAGACTTAGGCACAGTTCTCAAGGTAGCTGGGAAATTTTGGATAAGACTCCTTTGAACATGAAAATTGTCTATCTCTCTCCCTCCTATAAAGAATCAGCTTCTGGCCGTTACATTGTCTGTGCTCACAACACCAGTGTTCCTGAGCTATTGAGAAAGAGAAAAGCAAAAGCCGATAAAAGGAATTCTACAAGGATTCAACTAGGAGAAAGCATACAAAGGATCTTTTTTATGTATTCCTAAAATCACTTCCTCTCACTGCACATGTTTCAATTCAAAATTAAGATAAATTTAACCACACATTTTTATCACGTTTGACAGTTCAAAATCGATTCTATCCGAACCAATGTTCATCTATAAAAGAAACGAGTACTTAAAGTTACCTTAATTTTTTTTAAAATCCAATGAGAAATCCTGCAAGAGCAGTTAGACAGATATCATAGGACAATCCGTTATTTTTTTGTCACTTATATTTACTTGCATGATGATAACAAGTAAGTGTTCTATCTACACTTGATTTGCAAGTTAACCCTTCAAGTTTCAGCAATCCAACTAGTAAAGCAGCTCAAAATGACATGATCATATAAGGGCCATGAATCAACTGACACAAATTTCATCAGGAGAAAGAACCATGAAAACAAAGTCAATACAATTTTAAAATATTATTAGAAACTCAATACGCCAAGTCATCTGGATGCAATCTTCAAAGCGATGACTGCACAAAAACAGAGAATAAAAATCTCATTATCTGGAATCTTCAATTTGATATGAACACTCTTTGCTCTCTAATAGTCTCTTCCTTTCTAATCATAATTTTTGGCAAAATCAGAAGGCAGTACATAATATTAATTTGCACAATTTGATTTTCACTATTCAGGCTTGTCTAAATGACCATAAAGTTTTTTCCAGTGATAAGAAGCTTCTTCTGGTGTCCGAAAAGTCCAGATGTGTGATTTCAACTTTGCTTTCTCTTGAGCTTCCAGAACTTCCTGCATGCAGGAGTATGCGTTACCCAAAGGAAAAGCAAGATAATTGTTATGTCACAACAACTAAACCATGCAACTATGTAACATAATGAGTTAAAGAAATATTTACAACTACAAGTTCTTGCTCATTTCATGGTTCTGTGCTGTTCGCCATTCATACAAGTGAAACATGGGAATCAAGTAGAAAAGCAAAAGTAGCAATGAAGAGAAATAATTTTCTTTGATGGCATAAGAAATTAAAGTTGTAAGACATAGTTGGTACGGTAGATTCCTTAACTCTCTAGTCACAAATGTGAAATAACGTACAACCAAATTTGAAATACACATGTACCAGTATACAAATCATAAGAAGTCAAAGTCCTCTTAAGTCTCAATATCCCTACAACACAGCAATCAGTTGTTCTCGTAAGGCAGAATCAAGCTGCAGATGTACTTGAAGGCATATTCAAGACTATGCCTAGCACTAATATATGCACAGAACTGTCCTATATCACTTTCTCCAGCATAAAATAAGGAGGCTCTCCCTTTTTGTGCGTGCCAAAACAGTTGGAAAACTTCAGTTAAAAAACAATGTAACGTTAAAAATGAAAATGATGAGCAACTTACATTTTCAGTAAACCTTACAAAATTTTCACTGGCAATCAGATTGAAGCATTGATCACCTTAGTTTCTAACTTTATAAACTCTTGTCCAGTCTCAAACCTTGCAAAAGTCATTCACTGCAGCCTTTTTTAACTACATTTTTATACTGTCATTAAGGACTTAGTGACAGAGCTATCATAGCCAATAAGATCACAAAGATAAGACGTTTATAAAATCACAAGTGCAGCACCAACTACTGGAGCATGACAAAAGAATATAAAACCAATGTCTAAAAATGTTCTCAGCACATATAAACTATTGAAAACTCATTGGGGACCAACCTGGACATGAGATGCAGGTTTGGTCTTGAGCGTTAAGCAATCAACCATGGCTTTCCATTTTTCGGAACAATTGTCAAGAACACCAAGCCTGTAATACTGCTGCATTTGGTGAACCGGGGCTGCACACAATAAAGGCACAAACTTTATGGTTACTGGGATGACCCAATTGGAAAAGACATGGGCTTTTTAGGTTTTAGGGAAGTGGGTATTATTACAGTAGCAGAACCAAAGAGCATCGAAGTGAGCAGTGCACGATAATTTGCGATTAGGTGTGGAGCTTGAAGCTTCCTTCTCCATCGACATCGTATCCTATCCTCCAACAACCTCAAATATGTTTTGTTGAATGGCTTATGAACTTGTTATGATTCATCCCACACAGGAAATTCCGAGCAATTTGACCCGACTGATTTCATCTTTGAATCGGGTCGGGTACTCATAATTAGGTTTTATTTTAATTGTTTTTGGTTTACAAAAATATACTGGGCTTATATTGAAGCCCAAACTCAATCATCTATAGAAAATAATTTAGGCTAATGATATTATATATACCTATTTTTATAATTTATCTAAACTTTTCTTCATTTTTCTAACATACATTTTTTCAGATGACACATAAATTGATGACAATTATAATTTGTTTATGAAAAATTAAAAAAATTATTTTATCTAGCTATTTTAGTTCTTTTATCGAAAATGGGAATGTTCCACTAAAGACTATCTTATTTTCTTTTGCAAGCTAAAATATCATTCCAGGACCATTGATTTAAGAAAAAATTGTGGTAGATTTTGAAAATATTTCAATTTTTTTTAACTTCCAAAAAGATGCTCAAATATTTTTTTTTTTAAGTCTATTAACTCTTTAAAAAAACCTATATAATTTTAATAAGTGTTCCAAACATAGTTTTAATTTAAAATTTTCGTAAAACAAAACTGAAGCTAATAAACTCTATAAATATCAGAACAATTTCTTTAAAAGATTTAATTTTAATATGATACATTATTTGAAAGTTTTAGTTTTTAAATAGTCATTATTATAGTCAATTTTTTAATGATGTAAAAAATATAATAAACATAACTTGGATTATACTTTTTACATTAACGGTAAATTCTTTTTACAATTCAAGCACGTGCTCAAGTTAATTTTAATATTTGAAATAATTTAAATAGAATTATTGAGAAATGGTTTTTTTATTACCTAACCTGCAGTATGTTATACGTGAGCATCATTCTCCCAACTCATTGTGGAAGTTATTCAATTTCCTTGTTTGCCACAACGAAAATGACCCAACATGAAAAGGTCCATATTTAAACTTGAAACAACCGTATTACACAAATGAGAAATCAGAAGTTTTGATTTAGCCAACATTGTACAAACTCAAACTTGATTTGGGCTGCTTGAATGCTCAGCGATCTTATGCTAACCACGACGAGAAAGCAGCCGCAAAATTAGCAATTAAGAAATTGCTTTCTACATGCAATGTACATTTTGGCTAACAAATACTAAGATAAACAGTATGAATACATAATAATACATAGAATACCAACACTGAACCAAAAAATATATTTCGGATTCATGTCACCTAAAGGAAAAGACAAAGACTGTCGAGAATAACTTGTACTGAAATCAGAAATGTCTCATACTTTTCAGTTTACCCTTGGTTACAGAAGCCTTAACTTGCTCCATGTGACAGGAAGCTTTCTGAGGTCCACTCAACCCATAGCAGGAGTCATTTGCCCCTAATGTAACCGCAAAATATAAATAAATGGTACAGAGGATAGTTAGTAGAGCAAGTGCAGATAAGAGGAAGCGGTGCCTCTTAAAGAGTGTTGACCAACTACCCAGTTCATACTTTGTAAACTGCCTCTTGAAAGATGGTGACCTCATAGGAGGAGCAGATAAAATGGATTCAAGAACCATGGCTTCCACAATGACTATCTTGGGATTGCACTGCCTGAATCTGTACAACATGCCAAGCATTAACATGAGTGTGAGGAAATTTAATGAACCCATACGATGACGACAACAATAATTAAGAACAGTCTTATCTCACCAGATGAGATCAGCTATATGAATTACACAATGACATTAGACTAAACGAAAGCATAGTTATCAATCGTAGATAGCAAGGCGGCCAAGTGGGATAGTAGGTAGCGGAGCGATCGCTATCACAATATTTCCATATATAAAATAAATGATTTACATGACATATAAATAGAGAGAGAGAGGAGGCATCAAATTAATCTAAGGGTAACTTTAAGATAGTTGTTCACCATCCAAACCTTTTATTTCTCTCAATACAACAGTTCTATCGAGTAACTCTTGAAGTAACTTGGTCCCTTCATATATATATACATATGATATTTCCATAATAAAAGGCATATTCATAATTACTAATCAGAAAGTCACAATTTTAAGACAAATACAATAGTTAATAACAATAAGAGTCGAGAAACATGTGAAAGAAATAGAAGACATTTGGCAACTTATATATATATATATATATATATATAGAGAGAGAGAGAGAGAGGAGAATCCATTTACTACAAGAGCAAGTATTGATAGACTTATTTTACTCAATAACTCATATTCTATATCGAATTTCAATGATCCAACTGATAAATTAAAAGTTAAATTTACAAATTTTTTTAAATAAATAAAAAATATATGATACTTTGTTTCATTAATCCAAATTAACGGATAATCATAAAAGTATTTTATACATTGATTTGAATTAACATAATGAAATATCATTTGATAATCACACTAGGGGATATGTGTGATTACCATTAGCTCAATTCTGGTTCTCACCTAATATGCTCTCTATGTCTACTTAAAAATCAGAGTCCCATTTCATGCAAAACCTAAGAGGAAATTCAGAATTTAGTAAAACGCCTTCCCTCAAATAAAACAGTCTCTCTCACCTTAGTCCTCCAATTCTATGAATAACTAAATGATAATGCCTCATCAAGATGAAAAAATCTCAGCAGTAAACAAAGCCATAAGTTCACACTCATTTCATCAGATACAGAAAGCAAGAAGATGGCAAAGTTGCATAACCTAAGAGTTACAGTTTCTCTGCTGTATTTACATTCAAACCTCAATCAAAACCTAAAAAATAAATATCAACGTGTGTCACCTCAATGCAAGAATGTACGTTGAAAATAATTTCTACAAGTTACTCACAGCTTAGGCAAATCCTATATAGAATTAGAAAATTCCCACATATTGAATAGATGTAAAACACCAGCTAATTGAAGCACTTCCACTACAATACAAAACAACATGGTGAAAGAAGTCTCCTCAATCATGCAAAGCCTAGAAAAACAGATGGGCAGGCATAAACTATCATAGTTTTTTTTTGTGTGTGTGTGTGCGCTTTGTGCACAATGCAGGCAATGAGTTTTGAACCTAAGACCTTATACAAATTGTCCATACCCTGCACTCAGCACAAAGCCAAACCTAGTGGGCCAAACTATCATAGAATCATAGATCAAACAGCCTCAGCAAAAATATTAATTAGTAAACAATCTCAGAATCTCTCTACAAAAAGAAAATATCAGAATTCCATCCGACTGCAGAGGCTGGAAGACACAATCAAAACAGAATAAATCAACATTTAAACCAATGCAACCCCCCAAAGATATCAAGAACAAATCTTCCAATGTAATGACTAATGAGAACATAAAAATGAGAATTAGTTTTTCTTCCTCGTATAAAAGACGAGATATGTGAACTTCAGCTGTGGTTAATACTGTATGAATCAATAGGAAGCCAATACTTTTCATTAAAATAATGTTCAAAACATTGTTAGAATATCATATTCACAAATCACAAGACATGGACTTTTGGTACTCCTGAATTGATTAAAACACAGCCACTAGACATGCAATGTCAGAAGACAACAGCGCCAATCCAAGTTGCTTCCATCCACATTTAACTATCCACAACAAATCACAGCAGTATTTTCCTGCTATTCATCATATTAAACCTAGTCCAACAGCCACGATTGCAATAATACGTGGGAAAATCAAATTAACATTCAACAAAATCAAGACGCACAACACAAGGAAAATCAAGAGCTCAAAACATAATGCCTCAGCAAAGTAGATTCAACACAATCTCGCCCACTCTCGGAATTACCCAGTTCATAAATCCTAATTATATTATATCAACTCCATTGGTCCAATCTACAGAAACCCAAACCCCAATCAAACAAGACAACACCCAATTATGCAAAGAAAATTAAACTGGTGAAAACCAGATCGAAAATTAAGCGAACCTGGTAGAACAGAGCACCTGAACAAAAATATTTGATTTGGGAAAAATTAACCGCTCCAATACCCGTAGGGGAAAATATCATTTTCCCCATTAGTGTATACACAAAAGATGGAAGGCGCAATAATAAGATAGCTAACGGAAAATCCACACATAAAAGCTGAGAATGACGAATGGAAAGGTTATTGGAGTGAAAAGAAGAGAAGAAAAAAGTGTTACCTTTGACTTCGAAGGTGGTGCAATAGCGTGTGTTTCGTAATGAAGAGCGTTAAGGTCGTAATGTATTCACCAACCACGAAAGAGATGGGAAAGGGAATGGGAATGTCTTAATGGCGTGATGCCATGTGAGACGAACCCTCTGCATCCAATCATGTCTTCTTCCTTTTTCGGCCTTTTCGCTAAATAAATCAACTCCTAATATAAAAGGAGCAAAAATAACAAGAAAAATCCCTTAAAATTATTATTGAATAAAAACTCTTAAAACACTTCTATTAAATAAATAATCAGAGTTTCTATCAAAAATTAGTTATTAAGATAGTAAATATTTTATACTTATGTATAATTTTAAAATTAATTGCTCGAATCATTTAGATATAGAGAGTGGGGGAGAAAAATAAAAATGAACAAATCATATATTCTATATTATTAAAATAAGGTATTTACAAATTTTCTTTGTTTGTTCTTAACAATTAGAAAATATGTTATTAATAATAAATAAAATAAAAATAAAAAACTTCATACAAACATAGCTCTAAATAAATACCGAAAATGGTAACATTAATGAGTGAATAGCATAATGTAACACCTAAAATTCAGTGTGTTTTCTTTACATCACCATCATAATAATAATAATAATAATAATAATAATAATAATAACTTGATTTATTATTTTATAAACAAAATAATCTTTTAAAAAAATTAACTTTGATCCTCTCCTAATTCTCTTTTATCAAAACAAATCTTATTTTCATTCTTTTTTTATAAAATTGTTTTCCTTTTCTTTCTCTGCTCTTCCTTCTATTTATTTTTCTCTATCAAATACAAGAATGTCTATATCTCTATTTTAATCATCATAAATTTTTAAACTCGTTAGAAAGTTATTTCCCATGTTGTGACAATTAACAAGTCCAAAGTTCAACTCTATCCATTGTTGATTTATATAAACCAATGTTTAATCGTAGTCAATTAAATCAAACATACACTGATAATAAATAAATAAATAAATTAGATGCCACCACAAAATTGTCTTCAACAAATTATCCTAAATCTTATAATTTGAGTTATAAAATTATGTTGACTTCTCTAAAACTTAATTTTTTAAGTTATATATAACATAATGTTAACTTATTGAATAACTTATTTCAATTTTGTTTCATATTTTTTCATTAAAAATATTTCTCAAAAAAACTTATCCAAATAAACCTCATTTCAAAACATCAACTCTTTTAACAATTTACACACAAATTAAGATACACTTAAGTTTAAAATTTTTATACATAGAAACTAAATATATATATATATATATATATATATATATATCACTTTTAATATTATTTTACTAAAATAGTCTCATTATTCCTTAAAAACATTACTTTTAATTATAGCTGATAAAAAAAATTCATAAACAGACAAATTAAGAAGAAAAAAAATAGTAAATATTAAATGAAATTTTAAAAATATTAGTTATTTTGAGACATTCTTCTGCAATCAGTTTAAGATAGAATAAGTAATATTAATGCTACGCTTAAACATGTCTTAGTTACTTAACTACATATAAAAATAGAATTAAAAAAAATAATATGAAGATACATTGAATTTTTTTGACAGCAGCTACATTGAAATATTAAAAAAAAATTAAACAAAACTTAAAAGTCTAGAAAAATACTTTAAACTTTTGAAACATAATGCGTAATTATGAGGAGGTAGTATCTTGATTCACATTTATTATTTCGTTGGATAAGGGGCTATTTCAACGAATAATCCAAGACAAGTTTAAGAAGGGCAATAAATTCCAAGAAAAACATGACACATTTATTTCAATCTCTCCATTTAAATTTTTTCAATCTCCACTCATTAAAGGAAATACGTATCACACCAACTGTATGTCTGTATCACACAACTCAAGACTTAAATTATACACAAACAGATCAATCCCACTTGGTGCTAAACGAATTCCCATCACTTCAGAACAGGAAATATGACGAACCAAGGACAGAAGCATGATTTACACCCAAGTTACGTCCCCGGAGGCATTCCACATCCACCACATGCGAATGATCAATGAAGAGGTTCACCTGAACAACGGTGTTCAATGATGTCAACAAAGCGTTTATTCTTAAGTTTATGTAGTAAAAAGGGAAACTATGACTAGAATTATCTAGCAGAGCATTTACCTTAGGACCATATTGTTTGATGAACCACTCGGATGTTCTCTGATTTGATGCTTCAAACATAGTCTTCTCAAGACCAAGGCGCCCTATGATCTTCGCAATAATATCAGCACGCATGTTATCAGCATGTTTGCTGACATCATCAGCATCAATCATTATCATGTCTGCACCTGCTTCTAAACATCTTTCAGCCCTTCTGATCAAGAGATCCACATCCTCTACAAATTCTGTGAAAATAAATTCGAACTATGGTTAAACCAATATTTTGTGTTGATTCTAAATTTCTCATTGCCAATCAACCTATAGTCCAAAATATTAGATGTACTAAGTAACAGTGAATTAGTGCCTGAGAATTTCATTAGCACGACTCAAAACAGAACACAGTAGCATGTAAAATAATAAGTTTAACAACAATGTCTTCATACATAGATACCTCATAGGTGCTGAATCCCTATCCTGCCTCTACCCATTTGATTCTACAAACATTCATAGTAGATCTATGCGAAGGAATAAGGTGATGAATCCGTAATCTGCATTTCACCCATCTGATTAAGCAATTTATCTAAATTGAAAAACAAAACCTATCGAACTGAACATCTGAATTTAGATATTTTTCTTTCTTAAGAACTTTCTTTTGATAAAACTTTTCCTCAGAACTTAAAAACTTATTCTTTTGCTCAAATTAGGAAAGAAAAGATCAAACAACAAGAAGAAAGATAGAGAATGGCTAAATTTTAATTTTAAATGATACACTGTCCTAGTGTCACGCGAATAAGGGAAACAAATAACTATTGCATGTTGAGTATGAAACACAGTACACAGGGTAAATTGAACATACTTTAAACAATTACACAACATATCAGCCTTAACAACAACAGATTAGTGAATCCTCTTTCTGAATTCACAAATATTATATCATCAACTAGTACAATCTGAAACAGGAACATATTCATTAAGATTATTTCACATAACTTGTTATCTACTATATTTTATACAATGCAGATTCCAGAACATAGCATCTATCAGAGGGCATAAATATGATTAATTCCAATTCAAAAGAAAGATAGACAGACACGTGTAGATAGATGCAGAGAGTTAAATATCCTACCGAATGATCTAGGTGCTGGGGGAATATAAGCCCCATAAGCCCTGTCACCACCTTTGGGAATATCTGACTCATTAAACTTCACTTCAAAATGAGGCTTAGCTTTCAGACCACCACTTTTGACCAAGCGGACAAATCTCAAAAGGGTTTCCTCAGGAATCCCAAGTGAGCTCACATTGAGCTCAATTGTGTCAAACCCCGTCTGCTTGCATGCCTG